GAGCACATTGCCTGTCATGATGATGATGATCAACCGTCAATCAAGGCTGAGAGGTCGATAGTCAAGGCACAACTGACCACTGCCCAATATCCTACTTAAGGAGCGATAAGGCAGTGAGGCTCACTTGATGTTCTCAGTGGGCCCGAGGATGGTCAGACCCAGGGAGGTGCCCTGGTAGGCGACCGAGTGCAGGTGGTCGAAGACAACCTCCTGGAGGTTGGTCTCCACCTCCTGCATCTCTCGCAGGATCACCCCGCGCTCGCGCTCAATCTCGGCCTCGCCAAACTTGCTGTTCTGCAGGATATCGGCCAGGATCTCCACAGCTGCAGTAATACACAAAGGGTCAATGAACAAGCGCAGGCATGCACAGGTCTCTGAATCTACATGTCGAAGACGAGAAACCTGCTGGCACTTTGCAGCTCGTTGGCTGCTCGCTGGACACCTTTCAGAATAAGAGTGCATTTGTTTGGCAACTTTACCCAATGCTTACCGTACTTACACTATCTTAGGTCGACGTTTTTTTAAATCCACAGTGTGTTGGCTGACTTACAACCGAAACCAAAATTACTTCTACCAGTTACGACGATACAAATGAGAAAAGGCGTACCCTGGAATGGTTACAATATAACATTGCATTCTGACTCTACCTATACCACATACAGCATTTTCTGATGCATGACCAGCACCTCAGCAACAACCTGAAAAAACGTTTAAAAAAATAGAACCCACCCATTGTCGCAAAGCTAGCTTTCTTGTAAAGATGTGATGCCCCCACCCCAACACACCCCTCCTCAGCCATGGAGCCACCTTTGCATACAACAACTTCAGTACCTTATTTGTTGTGACTGGGCGTTGAAGTTCATGACAGTTAACATAGATACATAAAACAAATACTCCCAACATTCCTGTAAGACAGTGATAATATATTATTAATAATAATTAGTAATTCATTATCACTGTTTTAGAGTAAAGTTGATAGTATGTATGTGCCAATACAGCCTATTGAAGTCGGTTTCGGTTCTGGATTTGGCGCATTTAAAAAAAAAAGCTCAACTGTATACCGACAATGAAGTGCACTTCAAGAAATTCTAGCTGGTCGAAGCTAATCCTGAGTCCTTCACTATAAAGGGCCTCAAAATCTTATTGTGGTTTTGACATGTATCGCTTAAGAAATTAAAACTTTTCTCTCTCACCTTTTGGAAGGTCTTTGGAGAGGCACTTGGCATAGTAGACGGTCTGCTCACGTGACGTGTATGCATTCAGGTGAGCCCCCATGTTCTCCACTTCCAGCTCAAGGTCAACCTGCGACCTCTTGGAGGTGCCCTGCATGGAAACAATCGGATAACCGAGGTAAAACAAACGAGTGATTGACCGCATTTCAGATCATGACTTATTTTGCACAACTTTCAAAGCAGCCACTTACTACAACATGACGAGTTTCTCACAAATGGTAGATCAGTGTAGAAACGCACTGTCTTGACTGCAACATAGCCTAAAAGCATGCAGACCTGTCTAAGAAACCTTGCTAGAGGGCTAGTAACTTGCAATACCTTATTTAATCAAATATTTATGAAACCACCACGATTAAGGTTACTGCACAGTGAAAATACAGTTAAAATTTCTACATGTACATATTGACAATGCTTAGCCCCCCCATAGCTGATGAACACAGTTTATTATAGTGCTATTCGTAAGGGCTACAAAAAGAGCAAAAGCCTTGCACTCTGCCCACATGTGTACCAGTTGACACTACATGCTACAAGAGAGCAACCCAATGAACCAAACCACTTCAAGACCCTGCATTTTAAATTTCTATACCTTATAGAAATCGTTTCAGCCTTGGGTGTTCACTGGATGCAGCTGCAGCCTGTGTTACATAAGCTATACAAAAAAATCTGTCGTAAAGCGAAGAGCACTATGCGAAAAACATGGTCACCTTGAAGGCCATGTGTTCGAGAAAGTGGGCGACACCGTTGTTCCTCTCGTTTTCATACCGGCTGCCCGCGTCGATCCAGACGCCCACCGTGCACGTCGGGTTGCCGGAGTCTTCAGTGGCTACTCTGAGACCATTGTCCAGCGTGGTCGTGACGGTCTCGGGCACGTTCACCAGCGCCTGACTGAAGCTGGTGGCCGCCAGGTGGTGCATGTGGCGGTGAGGCGCCTGAAACGGCAAGCGAAAGCATGTTTCATGTCCGTGTCTTAGCCGTACCTGTCTACATATCACACTCGTATTTCAGACCGTCATAAATCACCAACTCCCCCAATCAACCATTTTAACAAATGCAAATAAGGCTCACGAGGCGGGGTACTGCATGCAGTAGCCCAGGCATAGTCAGTAGAAGGGAAACAAAACTCCAATTGCCCTAATTACATTGTCAGTGAGTGGTGTAGAGCACTGAACCTATCTTGGCAAGGCCACACAGCTATTAATGGTATAGTTCTCTCGACAGCAGTTTTCAGACGACACCTAAGACCATTGGAACTAGCGGTGGTGGCTGTGACATACGTCTAGAGATGTAACCTCCAAGATCAGAGGGCCCTGTATCTCTGAGGTCACACATTAGAGACGAAGATCTTCGTCCACTTTCTTGTTATGCATCACTCCCAACAGGTGACAGCAGCACAGTCTTTTGTATTTTTGAAGTTTTCCATAAAAGCGGCTATATTTCCTGACCTTCCATGACACTCCTATCTGTATTCAAACAGTGCAATTTTGCAACAAAGCTTATTTAGATTTACCTCACCAATAACTGTGCTTTATGCAGTCTAAAATTTTGTAGTGCTTAGTCTTCAAGCCTCTAATATTGAGCAAATGTTATATACAGGCTCCCCGCCATACTAAGTCCTGTAAGAGTTTTGGTGAGCTGGTGGTTTTTTAATCATACCTAAGTCTAGTGTCAGGTATAGGTTGACAAACTAAAGCGAGCTACAATAAGAAAAAGAATAAACTTCCCCGTACTTCAGTTTAATTGCATTCACAAGAATGGCGACCTGTGTACACCTGTTGCATGCGTGGCATCAGTTGACGCAGTCTGCTTCATGAGATTTGTGTCTCTCGACCAGTTTAAATTCCATTTTTAAACACCTTCGTTTGTCCTGTGAATGAGCAAGTTAAATCAATTAGAATATCATACTACATGAGCTTGATTTTCATCTTGGGAAACAACACCAGAACTTAGCACGCATGTCAGGACTCATTTGCACTGATGACACGCAAAGTGTCACGACCAAGTCTGTTGCAAACGGTAGCGTTGGTCTAAAAGCAGTTGTTTCAGTTCATTCATCTGTCACTCAATAGCTCGTGAAAGTGACTGCAGTCATAAATATTCACTGATCTAAACGACGTTTGCGGTGCCCCGTAGTGCTTGCGTTATGTTATAGTGGTGTGAACAGCCCAATGGTGCCAATTGTGAGGCATTTCAATGCAGTGATGCACTAACCAGTATGCACATTGTTTGCTGGTTGTGGTATCCCTTGTCACTGGTAGTCTCCACGAAAGCCAGTGTTACGTGCACAACCATGGAACCTGAAGACTACTGTTTTCAACACCCCGCTTTTCTACAGTGATTTTTAGATAGTCTTACTTTACTACATTGCGTACAAAAACAGCGAAATAATACGGCAGCTGCGTGTCATTGAAATACCTCGTATCAGGCGTCGGAAAACTAATTGTATCTCATGTTCCCTTTCAAACGCATTAAACCAGAGCTAGTAACCTAAAGCAAACTAAATGACCGGGATCGTGAAATCCTGATCCCTCTCCACTCTTATTTACGTCTCACGATGTCTCGGAAGAATACCGCAGATTTCGCGATGTCGGCTGCTTGACCTGAACCTGCTCTGAAACAAACTCACGTACAGAGTAAAATGCACATGTGAGCGGTGGTACCGAATGTGGTCGAAGCACAAATCATGTGTGTCACGTTCTTCTGATCGAACGGCGCAGAGTTATCGCTTGGCTCATTTCTGTTCTTATGAATGGCATGCGCCGTTTTACAATCGCAACCAGCATGGCCCATGGCCCGAAACCAGAACGTATCCAAGGCCGTAGCACAGGATTTTCGAACCCGTTCGCGCCCCGCGAGAGCTCGCTACATTGCAATACGCCTACGCCGTATTGGCGTGCGAATTTGTCGTTCGAATAAACGCAAAGCGGTCACACGGGGAAGGTCAACCCGGCTTCCACATTGCCGTGCTGCCCCTCCGCAAGCGGAACTTTTTCTCGGGCGTCGTTACGCGAGTAGAACTGCGAGGACTCCCCGAATGGACGACTCAAGGGAACGAGTACGCTCGATGTTTAAAGGCCGAATAGTTCGAGAAACTTACGCACGACTTCCTGGCCGCATTTTGCAGCAGAATTGCGGTACCCTTGAGCAGCCTCGAGGTCGCCATCTTTGCCGAGTGCCCTCTTCGTTTGACCGGAACTGCTGGGTTTGCCGGAACTTGATAGACATGCAGAACAGATGAAATCTAAAGTGCTCGAGTGAAGGTGGCAGAGGTGCTGCAAAGAAGCAACTGTGTCATATGTCTAGCATAATCTTTTATTTTTTGTTGCGGAGAAAGGAAAAGTTTCTTTCTTTTCTTCCTCCGTGTTTTTTATTCTTGCGTTATCGCACGCAAAGCCCGAAAAGCAACGTAAACCATGCTCACACAAACTGGAAAGAAAGTTCTGTACGCTGAAGAAGAAAAATAAAGTGTAGAAAGTTGCAAAACTCTGTGAGGTTTTGTAAGACCCACGACCGGCTTTATAAATTTATAAAGCCGGTCGTGGTAAGACCACTCAATTCTCGGCCAATCCTTTACAACTTAAGAAAAGGTGAACAAAAACGACCTTGGCATAGAGTTTCCAAACTCTATCAAGCTCGGTATCTAGCTCGGTTGCGTACGTTCACACATCGTTCACATTAGGAAAAAACTGCGAAACTCTCGCCTGGGCCACCGCCCGTAGTTGAGCAAGGTACCCTGAGCGGAGCATGTGACGCGCTTAGAAGGAAGGGGGATGGGCGCAGCGCTGTCGTAAACAGTCCGGCGGTGCGTCGTCGCGACGAGCAATGCACGTACGCTGACGCTCGCTGCCCGTTGTTTATCGCTGCCAACGGCGAGCCACGCATTGGCCATTGACGCGCGGCGGCTGTCGTCATCCGATCCGGCGCCGGAGATCGCGCTTGTTTTCGTTTGCGGTCGGCAGCAGACGACGGCTCCGTGATGTCGGCCTCGGCACCTCCACTCACGGGATGCCCCGCCGTCTCGTCTTTTCCGCCGTCTTACAGCGAAGCCACCCGGCAGCACGCGTCCCTGGGCGGTGGACTGAGTTTCGTGGATTTCTTGCCCTACTGCATCAGCTCGGGCGGCCTTTTCAGCACCCCGACTTTCGAGCCGTTCAGGTGAGGCATCTACTTGGCGCGCTCCAGTTAAAGTTCGGCACTGGCTGCTGCATTACCGTTATTCAGGAATTGTTTCCCGTCTTTCGCAAGGCGATAAGTGAAAAAAAAAAAACAAACAAAAACATCGAAGCTCTTATTCTACCGCAGAGAGAGGTGTGTGCGCTGCCAAACCTCGTGTATGCTGTACGCCCGTGCTTGTCTAATCGTATCGCACGGTCTATATTTTGCGAGTTTGGATTAACCTACGGCGAGTGTTCTTTTTTGCAGCGAGCTCTGTGTTTGTATTTTCGATTCCCTGCGCGGTGCAAGTTGCGCAAGCCGCGCGCAGTCGATCCATATTAAGCGGGCATTGCGTTTGTACCCGTATTGCAACTGCGATTGTCGTAAAGAGATGCGCGTTTATCATGCGTACCGCCGCGACTACCTTTTTCAAGTTGCGTTATGCAGCTCGTTACTGCGGTATGTAGTCAACCAGAGGTCACTCGTGGAGATAAAAACGTTCAAACATAAACAAGAAGAGACTTTCCTCGAGCTGTCGTCGTGAGACTGACCTTGGTTGAGTAGTCGTTTTCGCCGCGTTAGGGAGCCGCGCGCGCGTTCATCGAACTCCTGAAGAAATTTGGCCTCAAGCGAGTGCAAGATCTAGGCGCGATCGTTTGATCTTTACCGGCGGCTCTCGTACCCGGGCGCATTGTAAGCATGTCTGTACAGAACTACAGAAAGGCGGTATCGGCCGGTCGTGGCGTTTTCGCACGGTCAGCATAAGCACCATTGCATTGTCTGTGCAGAACAATCCGTGTACATTGTTTCATCAAAGTGCATACACACAAACGCATGTGTGGTGTATACAGATGGTAATAAGTCGCTTCAGATCTTCAAGCAGCAGTCATTAATTGTCTATAAGCCACAGATGTATGCAGTGTGTCAATATGAAAAGAAACCCCGTAGCATTGTTCTGAAAGGGTTGTCTTACTGGTTCATTGCTGCCCCAAATAAAATTCAAGAGGGAATATTCATGATTGCATTGCTTTAGGTATGACAGATAGTGATGGAAGGACTAAGTGACGAACAAAATCTCCGCTTGTCGAAACGTCGGCTCGACGCAACCCCTGTTTACGGATTTTTTTATCATATGCTTTCTTGTTATTTTATGTTTGCACTTTGATCGACGTAATACTAAGAGCAACACTCACGAACGTTCACGAGCTAGACCCAAATGTGACCAGCATGCGACAGTGGTGTGTATAGAGAAACCCATTGCCGACACGGTGACAGGAGCTAGTTTCTTTGGCAGTAGGTTACGTGTTGATATTGTGCGCACTTGGCATTGTTGTTGGTGACCATTTTTCACCGTGCAACAGATGTTATGGTTATTCAGGCCTGGTGCGAAGCATGCCCTCGTTAATCATATTGTCTGCACTACAAAAATAGCAATGTTTATTTCTTTTCATATCAACCTAAATTGAGAACCCAAGATGAGCCACGATTTTCTCAACCATGCTTGCTCCTAGTGTCGACTTTTAACTATTGATTTATAGTTTTTTTTAAGTGACGAAGCTTGTGCATCGTTTTTTACATCACCCGTTCGAACGATCTGCATTTAGCAATTTGCAAAACGACGGAAGCCCTTATTACAGTTCGAATCCTCGGGGAGAAATACTGAAACCTTTGCTTGTAGCATGAATCTTACCTGTCATGTGAATGTAGGCTGTGGAACGATTCGAGTCAAGCCACGTGTCAATGATACATCCATGATCATGTCTGTCGTGTGAATACAGCTTTACTTGCTTGCTACAACCATTACTGATGCACGTCGGGCTAACACCCGGCTCATATTTGATTCAATCCCAATCCAACAGCTGTTGTCCACTGATATGTTCTTCACTTACGCTTTTATGTCCGATAATTTGTTGTATAGCATTTTGTTAGATCTGTTTACACTACAGACATCAAGGTTTGTCCGTAGTGTAAAAATTACGATGCTTCACACTGGCTCAAAATGAAGAAACATACTGTATCGCATGTGTACGCATATGTACACTTAGGCATCACTCGGTCAGTAGACAACGCCACCAATGCCTGGAACACCACCCTTACATGGTTGTTTGTCTTGGAACGCTGGTGTGTTACCTTGCTGTTATGTGACTGTAGCAGTATGGCACATAGAAAGAAATTGTTGAAGAAAAAAATTCAGTCAACAGCATGGTCATGGTGTTCATATACATCGGTGTCTCGTGCAGGGTTCTTCTGCAGCGTGCCAACGACTGGCTGAAGGAGAACTGCACCTGGGAAGTGAAGACATGCGAGAGCGTCGAGTTCAAGACCTCGTCCGAGGTGGTGAACACTGAGCGCATGACCTACTACGAGTACGGGGAGCAGAGCACCCGCTATGTACGCAGCCTGAGGTGCGTCTCTTGCGGCATAAGCTGCTTACTAAAGCAGCCAATTTCGGTGGCGATGTTGTCCACTACCACCGCTGTTTGTCGCAGCCATGAAACGTAACAAGAAAGAAAAAAAAATAAAAGTAGTTTCGAGCCGCTGTCAAACCTTGGCATCCTCTGTGGTAGTCAAGTACGTTACCGCAAAGCCACGCCAGTGCTTGTCATTGCTTTGGAAAGACCCATGAAGGAATCATGTTGGACAAGGAGTCATATTAGCAGCTATGTAAATATTGGATGGCTAAAATATAGAATCAATCCAGGCATCGCACCACGTGAGGCGAGATGATAAGGTGAGCATGTTGTATTGATTGATGTTCATTTTTCATGAAACAGCGCATTACTAAATGAAGTGTACTCCTGTGCACTCCTTTCGTAATGCTCCTTTTCATCAAAAATGAACACCATGTGAATTGTATATTGAGAGGGTAGTTTAAGGATTACCACTCATTTTAAAAGGCTAAGCCATAATTGATGACACTATCAGCCAGCGTCACCAAAATGTGCCGCTACATTGCAGGCGCATAGTGTGTACTTTGCTACTTTGCATAATGATGATGAATTACAGTGTAGTGGGCGCAGTGTAGTGGTCGTCCCAACAGAGTTTACAACAAACTACTGAAATATTTAGAAAGTGGCAGTGGTAACCAATATCACCACTGAAATTAATTGTGTTTTTTAACTCACGACACTACTAAAAGTGGTCTCCCTTTGTTTATATGATCCCTGTACTTCACATACAAGACATTGTATGGGTTTAAGGTGACCACCATCTCGTGATTCGTGGGACTTTCCCTCATTGAGGGCCCATCGGTGTAAGACTCTTGGTATCATGTGGTAATAAAGCCACAGCTGTTTTGTAAGTAGTGTTTTTTTTTTTTTGAGCTGCTAAACTTCTATATTCTTGTTAATAACTGTTTCATTTTCGAATGTATTACAGTGCTGTATAAGGTTTCATTCACGAAAATATGTTTTTGAACACAAACTTGTTTCAGTTACTTTATTCCCCTGTTTCAGAGATGACGACATATTGATATAGAAAATTCTTTGCCAGCAAATAAAAATCATTTATTGTAATTAATTTCTCACTGTTCCATGTCAGGTCCCACTCACCCCACAGTCATTGACTCCCGCATTTAGTTTGCAGAAAGGTGGTCACCCCTGTGGGCGGGGACGATTAACAATGTGAATATTGAAATCGTTTGATTTGTCAAATAACTTGCGTTTTGAAACGTAGAAGAGCTGGCTCAAAATGTGTCATGGCCTTGACTGACTTGTGTTGGCTATGGTGCAGATTGTGGCTGGTTCCTCGGCTCGACCAGAGTCGACCTGCCCAGCAGCTGGAGTACCGAAACCTCATCCCGCAGCAGACGGGTCATGCGGGCCTCTTCGGGATGCCCACCTTCGAGACACTGCACGAGCTTCTGGAACGCTACAACCAGCAGTTAATGCACCAGCCTGCGCCGGGTATGTGCGTAGAGCGTGCGGCTGTGTTCTGGTACTCGCCGTGGACTACTACGTAGACACCCAAGCAGACAGTGGCCACACTAATCTTTATTCCAGTTCTGTCATACCTGGCAAAACAGATAGCTTTGCGACAAAGCATCAAAGAGCAAAATGACGCTGGCTGTACTCTGATGTGCAAACAGAATTGTAGCTGACCAAAAAGCCTAAAACATTGACAGGAAGGTTTTCCTGTCACACAAAGGCAGTCATGTTTTCTGATGCATGTCATTTATGCTGCACTGAATTTTCAACAGGGTACTACATTTAACAAACTAGAATGATAACTAGAACAAGCTAGAATAATAATTTATATGCTCTTAGGTGTATCTTGTTAACATGACGTGGCATTCATATCACAAAGACATTGTCAAAACGAATTTAATTTCTTGGGCAATGCAGGCTTGAGGCTGTCATCTAAGCTGGTCAGGTGTACTGTCTAGACAGCGTAGCCGACTATAATCAGAATGCACTTTGTATATATTGTGTATCTGTTGGAGGTCAAATCGAAAAGTATATTCACTATGTGCCTTGTCAGAAAAATGTGAAGAAATTCATCAGTGTTCTGATCACCTTATATTCACTATGTGCCTTGTTAGAAAAATGTGAAGAAATTCATCAGTGTTCTGATCACCTTGTCATAGACGATAAACGCCATCTATGCTTTGACTGCAGTGACAAAATATTAGGCCAAGTTAACCTGTGGTGAGGATACTTCAAGATGGGCTGTTGGCAAGGTCTTCCTTCGTACAGGAAGGGACTTGGTGAAGTAATGTAGTAGAATTCAGTGATGTGCAACATGTGAGGATCTTTCATGATCGGCTGTTCACAGAATCTTTCTTTGTGCAGGAAAGGTTTCGGAATAGTGTAGCATAATTCACTTGCTTACATCGGTAGCGCTAGAGTTTTTCTTCGCTTCCCCAGGGATGGGCAATTACAACTAGATGTCCTTCAGGCAGGCAGGAATGCTTATTAATGAAACTACACTGAAACCTCGATATAACGAATCTGGACATAACGAAATATCAGTTATAATGAAGTAAATGAATAATAGTCTTGCACTAGACATATATTGTTAGTAATGCATCCTTATAACAAATTTTTGAATATAGTGAATATATTTTCGTGCAGGATGCAACTTTGTTATGTATGGACGTTTAGTGTATCTGTAGCATAAAAATTTTGGTGAACCAAGCCGTCGCAACAGAAAATGATGGTCAAGGGAAGCATATCAGGGGCACACCGTAATAATCTATTCAACCTCTCGTAGCATGTGCCGGTTCTGATGTGCAGGCCGTGTCCTGGCAGTGGAGACGCAAGAGATGAAGATCCCCAGCTACTCAAACTTTGACCCCGACAGGTCGTACTGGTCCGAGTATGGTGGGCGCAACCGACACTTCCTCTTCGTAGTCCGCGTCTTCTACGAGCTCGGCTCCACGAGCTGTGAGGAAATCGGTGAGTCCCACCATGACCACATTATTAGAGAGGTAGTCTGTTGAGCCTTTGTTGAAAGCTAGAAGCCATGGTATCTGTTCTGTGGCATCTGTGCTATGGTCAACATCAAAGGAGTCCCAAAACACGATTTGTAGAAACTGAGAAGCATGCTGGAGTGAGTGCTGTGCCCTCCAATGAGTACGCTACTCGTGAATTGTCTAGTTATTATTTCACCTCAGCAGTGCATCGATAGTGGTGCTTTGCTTTACTATCTGGTTCCCTTTCAACTTCCCCTGAAGATGTGTTCGTGGAACTTGCTTTACCAATACACATTGAAATGTTAAGCCCATCTTTCTACATAATTCAGAAGCTTCATGATGCTTGCTCCCGCCTGCCGAGAAAATGTCGTAGACACCCAAACTCCGCTTATTGCATTTATACATATCTATGCGGTGCGCGCAGGTGTGGCAGACTTTGTGCCCCTGCGGCAGTCGACGGGTGGGCTCTTCTCGTTCCCGAGGTACGAGCCGTTCAGCAACGTCATTGGCCGCGCGGCACAGTGGTGCTCCCAGCAGGGATCGCTGCGTTTCTGCAATGCCCAGTCCCTCGAGATCAAGCTGAAATCAGGTGAGCAACCTTCCCGTGACGAATGTGCTAAGAATTTCGCAACATTAAAGGTCAGCTGTAGTTGACGTACGCCTCGATCAAGGAGCAAGCGATTAACCAAAAACTTCACTTGCACAGCGCATGTCGCACACCGTATGTCTTTTCTCAATATTGAATAGTCAGGCAGACAGATCGACATAGTAGCATATAATCGTGTCTGACTGATTAAAAAAAAGTCCAAACACATACAGATGTCTGAGATGGTGGTAAACCTAGAAGCTTTAGCTTTATTCTGAGTACGCAATGACACATTGGCTGGCACAGCCCTTTCAGTGAAGCTACTTTTATGAGTGTCAGTAGTGGCCGTGAAAAAGCATTGTATAGATTACAAGGTAAATTACCGACTACTGCCTCAGCTGTTCTATTTCTGCAACATAATGCTGCATCTCAATGTATAAGTTCGCCTCAGTTGGGTATGTGCTTCAACCCATTGAAATAGTGGAGGCTGTGCAACACCGCGGCCAATAAGCGAATACAGCTGGTGATATTGGATGTCGTGCTGAAAACTTGCACAGGTCTCACTTTCAGATGCTGCATCGTTTCTACAAAGTGGTAACGCAAGTATTTTCTGCAGTTTCCATGTCAAAAACTTGCACTTTTGGCTTTTTCTTGATGAATCTATTTTGACACATGAAACTTGACAGCGTGAAGGTTTGAGCTAGTTGGTACTCTATACTCGATGGAGTGCTCATTCTCGTTAGCTGCCATATCTCGTTTGAAAGCTTTTACGCTTAGTATTGTTGGAACATGAAATTTTGCAAGTCAGTTGCCATGTGTCTGCACCGCAATAACGTAGGCTTCTTTAGAAGGCACACATCTTTGTAGCACTTGGCTGTTAAGTAAAACCGTGATGCTATATTTAGCAGTATATTCTGTCTTCCTCTTAGTTTTATGCAAGATCATCGCTTTCAGGAATGTTTCACGGTGATTAGATGCACTAGCATAAATCGTGAGCAGGGGTCAGGGGAGTCCTGGCCCCCCTTGCGTTCAGGCTGAGGGAAACACCCTTTGCCGGTGCCCCACCTCAAAATTTAGCTATAGAACATCATATATTTGAATTATTTGACAGTTAAGCATTGAACTTTTTTTAAAGGCCAACATTTAGTGCGCACCTGTGTTCGGTGCACCTCAACAGTGTCGGATTATAAAAATTGAAAAATCTGCTCCACCGCTTGAAAGAACACTGAGTACAACGATGCAGTTGCTCAAGCTGAGGCCTCATGCTCATTTTTAAAATTTAATTGGAAAGCATGGTTGAATAATTAAGCAAACAAAAATGTAACCCACATGCTTAAAAAAGAAAGTGGCCACCATGGTCGATGTGTGTTTCTCCTTGCAATTTTTCTTGATTTTTCACCACTGAATAAATATACATTTCCTTTCATGCGCAGGCACGATGGTGGACACACAGCGCATGTCATACACTGAGCATGCGGAGCGGACCACCTTCTTTGTGCGGGTGCTGAGGGTGGCCTACAGCAAGGAGCCCATTCCTGTAGAAGGGGGCCTACCACCTTCGCCTCCTTTAGCTCTTCACTGCAAGACTTTCATGCCGTTGCAGCTGACGCGTGGAATCTTTGTGCCCGAGTTTGAGAGCCTGTCGGCGACCAAGAAGCGCGTCGAGGCCTGGATTAGGGCCACAGGTTAGTGCCCCTCCTTCCTTTCTATTTCGATCTTTCTTGTGGCGGTTCAGACTAGTTTATTTTATTGAATTTATAAGGCATTAGAGCATGCGCATTTATGGATGTGTTGTTGCACATGATACTCTGGCTGTGCTTTTTGCCAACATCTGAATGTGAACCGATGTAGCAGCTTTGTTAAAGTGGCGAGTTCAGCGCGTTAGTATGTAATTACAAGATACTGTATCACAAAGAATATATGGGCAGTATTTCGTGGTAGCTTAGCGGCTAAAGTGCACTGGCAAATTTACTGTTGAGAACGTCTTATCGGTTGTTGCACCGATTTTAGCAACTGATTGCAATAAAGGTGAACGTTTTAAGTCACTAGCAGAACATTTCATTCACTGTTACTTGTCAACGTTTCACACCACTTACGCTAAATACACTTATTTACTTAATCAGTGTGCCACGACTTGCAACACCACTTGCCCTAACGATCTGTCACCTTTGGCTATGTGCAGGCGCTCGTGTGCTGAGTTGCGAGACAGTGGCCATGCGCCTGTTCACCGGTGGCGAGGCCCACGCCGGCATCGAGAGCAGCTTCACGTACAACAATGGCAACCGCAGCGAGTACTGGATCTTCGTACTGCGTGTGTACCTGGACGGCTCCTACCGCGAGCCTCCGCAGGAAGTGATGCCTCCTCCGCCAGAGGTGCGCGACGTCGGCTGCTGCGCCATTCTTTGAGTCATTCTCTCGAGCTGCATGCTTCGAGTCCCTGTATCTGTCTTCTGCAGAGTGTTTTCTAGTGTAGGCTGTGTACCCTACCTACAGAAGCCTAGAGGTGCTGTGGAAGCGTAGTACTTGGGGAATCTCCTGGATGTGCTGTGTGTCCTGTTTACTGGATGTAGTTCATCGCGTCAAATGCGCCCTCTCGCCTGCTTTCTGCCAGCAGCCTAACATGTTCTGCCGAAGCTCTCTCATCTCGCCTCTCAGTCCTCAGGCGGACACGCATCACCTCGTATTGGGCGATTTCTGGTGCCCTTTCAGCCTGCTTGGGTGTGGGGTACAGTGCTCCTTGGGTGTACTGTTACACTAGCGAGTGCAAAAATGCAGGCCTGGTTACCTTACCGAGAGTACCCAGCCGTTACTGTGGGGGTGTCTGCAGAGCGACTTAATGGTGCCCATCTCGTGTGAGCGTTCGGTGCCTGTTAAAGTGGTGCCGCCGGGCTTATCCCGTGCCTGAGACGGCCTTTCCCGTTAAGGCACATTATCTCGTCACGTTATTTTCACCCGGTGATTGACTGTACGGGTGCCTCCACATCTGCCCAGCACGGATATGTTATCTTGTTGGACACACTTCCAGTGCAACTTATCTCGTCAAGCACCGCCAAGTGGCGTGTTTAGCATATGATAGAGGCCCGATGCTTGGTTCCCTGCTTGCATTCAACCAAGTGACTGTATTTTATTGCACTCGCCTTTGCCTTGTGACCCAGAGGTTATACCTGTGTACTGTGTTACGTATAATTATTGTGTATTATGCATAAATTTGCATAATAATGTGAAGCTCTATGTGCCTTCAGCCGCTTGATATGACAAGTATGAAAATGTGCCGCTTTGAATGTTTCTTAGTGTGTTCACATGTTTATTGTTCGATAAGCTGCCTGTATAGCTTTACTAGTTGCAGTTGCTCTAACGAGCGATCGTGCGTAATGCATTTCTGGCGTGGAATGGGTGCGTTTCTTTGTGCATTCACACTATGCAATTACGGTGCTTCGCTGAAACTCCAAATGAAACGCATTCCATGGTGACACTACTTAAAGTGCTTGCGTGACGGTGCACATCTTGGCTCTGACAAACGTCGAGGTAATCTCGCGACTGTACCTGGATGCGACAATATGAGTCAGCGTTGCACTGAAAGGATAGTTGGTCACAGGTTTCCTACTGGGCCTAAATTAGTGACATGCACGTGTTTTCATGATGTCGAGGCACGGTGCTTGAAAGCTGAAGGATCACCATGTCGCCCACAAAACCGAGCACATGGCTGCAACTTCTAACTCATGACTGTTAACTCATCCCTGGGTTTTCAGAAATCAGATTTTTTTTTCGCCGCCTGATTACACGTACCACAGACATTTGTTGCCGATTGTACTTTAGAAAGATACATGACATAGCTAGTGTTTCAGTGCAGAGGTGCCACGTTCCTCCGTGGATTGTATGTAGGCGTTTGTTTGTGGTGCACAGTGTACCAGTGTCTGTATGCGGTGTGTGTGTTGGCTAAAGGGATACCAATGTGCAGGTGCGATACTGAGCGCAGGCTTCAGCTTTTCCTGCCTTGGCAAAGCTCAGTAAGTTAACGCACTCAGCGTGTCGTATACACGCGACAGGGCCTTGTCACAATCGTACTTTGTGATGATAGCTGCGTGTTCTATTCACAGATGGTAGCACATCAGTGTTGAATGCATTATCATATTATCTTTCATGTTTAACACCAAAGCGTTTCTCCGACAGGTTGGGGAAAGTGCGCACCCAGCTGGCATCGCCACAGCCACACCTGGTGCACGCTATCTAAGTAGGCACGATTGGGCCTCTCACATTGCTTCATTCTTTACAATGCGGCTTGGCTACTCCACAATGCAGCAGCCCTCCATAACAACAACCTAGCCTAAAGAAACATTATCATGTTTCCATATAATATTCATAGGGATCCTGTGCAAATTGAAAAAAAAATTTTATGTAATGCAAGATCTGACTTAAACAAGATGTGGCATCTCTTGTGCTGTTCTTTTTATTTACTTAACGAATTATGTAATTATCACTGTTTCATTCGCCAGTTTGTTTTTCTTGCCTGTCTGGGCAAGTCACTGCGTCATGTGTTATGTGGAATGATCATAACCATGAACACTGATCTGCTGTGAAATGCGGTCGAGCGTTAAGAGCCTCTGAGCACAAAATGTTTTAATTTTCTGTTATGTTAAAATGTGTTGATCGAGTTACTTATCCTGTGACTTGTCCTAGGCTATGGTCTCGTATATAGCTATACAGTCGATCCTCAGCAAGTCAATACATTAAACCCTTGGTATAGCGAACCCGGATATAACCAAACATTGGTTATAACAAAGTAAATTAGAAACAGCCTTGCAATAGATAGTGTTAGGGATATACCTTTGTAACTAATTTTCGGTTATAACGGACTTATTTTCGTGTAAGATGCAGCACTGCTATAAGGAGGTCTGAGTGCGTAATAAATTATCGGATATTATGAATATAGGGCAAACCTTGCTTTTTTTTTTTTTCAGGGATGTTTATATTTATAAGAAGTATTCAGTACAACAAACTGTATTATTGTGTGGGGTATGCATTTATGGTAATGAGATTCAATTGTACAGACGTGTGTGTTTATGATAATGAAAAACTGACTGGCATGGTTGTTTAATATTTCGAGCATTTTCTCGGACCTGCTTTTAGAGTTTTATCATTTCCCTAGTCGAAAAAACTGCAAACAGCACGTTCTAGGGCATTTATAGTCTTTCTTTCTTTTGCAAAATGTTTATTGCGAAGTTTATCTCAGTTTTTTTGTTTTTTTTCTGTGTTATCAGTGGGTCATGCTGCAAATGCTGTAGCATTCATGTCCAAATACCATCAAGTCATGTTTGACCTCATGTTTCATACAATCTATAACATTGTTGCTGCATCGTTAAGATTTTATCTTACACACGGTTCGAAACAGGCAAGACATTATTTCTTAGCTTTATATGTGTTCTTGAAAGAATGAAGGAATGAATGTACGCCTTTTCTTTTTTTCTATGGAACAGTCTTGCCCTTAATAGGCTTATGTTTTGTGCATTCTTGGGATGACTGTCATATCTCTATCTTGGCAGTGAGTCATGCAACTAGAATTTCTGGTATTAGATTGAGAAAGTTTGGTTTACTGTTGATTAGTTTCAGAGATTTACCTACCGTGTTTGTTTGTGATAGGATACCATCAGAGTTTATGACGTACGCTTACAGTTTACAAAGGTGAGGCGATAAATGAATTGCCTCACATTAATGCATTAAAAAGGGGGAATTTTGGAATGACACAATTTTTTATTTGCTTTAGTCAGTCTGTCGTAGCATATATATTTGTGACCTAACTTTGGCCAGGAATAGCCAGGGCATACAGGAGAAGCTTCTGCTATCAGTATACATCACTGTGGTGCATTTGTGCGTTAATGAACTCGCTTTGATTTGACAGTTTAGTCTGAACTGTTTGTTTGACAGTTCAAATCAACTGTTCTGCAAAAGTCGAATTGGCACGTCTATAATTACCAGCATAATTAAAACTGTTTTCATTGAGAGTACCATGTGTTATTTGTTCTTAAAACATAAGGAAGCTCCAGCACCGACATGTTATGTATTCAAATTCTGTGAAGGTGCTCAAAACCTACATCTTTTTATTAGCATACGACTTCGCAGAAGTATTTTCGCTGCAGCGATGAATTCATGCATACTGTCAGAGCTGTTCGAGGAACAAATTGGAAAAATGGTGAATCTATTGTGTATGTATATATAAGCACCATACAAAGTTATCAAATCTACTGTGGCCACAAATCTGTTTATGTGTTCAGGTAAATCAGCTGTCATGTTGATAATGCTTTTTTTTGGTGTTTTCACATCTACAAAACACTGACGTCTGCTGTGCATTGTAGAATGAGAGCAAACACTATGACATTCTGCTTCTATTACGTACACCAAGGTGTTGAGGAGCTTTATATGTAAAACCGTCGTATACCAATGTGTAATTGTTGTAGCAGGACTGAATTTACTTCGGAGTGGATACTGTTTTTTGCCGATTCGCGAATGTACTTCTGTCTCAGGATGGCAGTTCTACGGTGCAGAACGGTATGCATGTTGAACAAATGCATTCAATGAAGCGCTTTCGTTGGGTGCTACCACCTGTCTGTAGGAGATGCTGTGTGAACTGTCTTTGCATGCACGAGCTGTTTTTGAGTTTTGTCACAAATGGCTAAGTTCAAAAATTGTGATTTAGGCAGGTGAAAGGGCAATGCAGACATGCGACCAATCGTAACCTGGGTCATTTCGAAAGCCGAATTGCAGAGTTCATAGTTATTAATGCCAAGCAAAATATTATTTGAATGTTAATTAAAATGTCAAATGTTAACAATTACTTAACAGTTCGAATTATCAAGGCTATGTCGAGCTCCAGTGGTAAAAACAAAGTTTTTTCATGTTTATTAAGTGATGCATTTAGTGCCTCTAGGTCAGCTGGACCATGTTTAGAAACTTTTGTCGCTCATTGCACCTCGTATAGTGTCAGGAGTGCTGACGAGCGAAAACTTGCTTCGCTTCACAGTTAGGAACGTTCTGGCCTAACGTAATACAGCTGCCTCCTTACCTGTGTGTCTTGTCCACTCTATCCCCATAGTGGGATCTTAAGTCAACAAATATTTCAAATTACATGGAATTTTTCTTTCTGAAAAAATGAATGTGCCATGTATTGTGGCATCATACAACTTTTCCATATAACCTACTGCCCTCAAGTAGTTAAATTATTGAATGGTTGTGTTACTACCATTTAATAATTTCAGCAAAACTTTATCAGTGGAGAAGTATTTCTGCCTCAATAAAGAGTTGGTCTGTGAGAGCATTAAGTGTATTTGTGTCACTGCACTTTTTATTAAAAAAACTGCCTTGTCCAAAAAACAGGATAAGAAGTTGTCTTCAAAGCAGCGCAAAATGCATCCTTAACAAAAAGATGCAGACTAAGAAAGTACGAACACACAGTTGTGAGTCGGTGGTTTTCCTGTGTGTTTGTATTTTTGTGGTCTACGTCTCCACACTGCCTTGAGCTTGTCTAAAAAATGTTGTATAGAGAGATGCAATGCCTTAGGTTCAGAGTGGTACTGCTCCAAATGGTCTGCAGACTTTCGTAACTCAACTGTCAGTACAAGGCTCTCGAGTATTGAACTGAAGAAATCGAGTGACCAAATGTAACCAGCATCATGGCTCTGCAAATTGGCAGAAATGTTTAATACAGTGTTGGCTCTTATGATTAGTATCCTAATAGCATTATTCTTAGCTGTCGCCTGTTCATTTCTGCGTTATGCTACATTGCAAACTAATGCACTAACAACAATTATAAATATGAGTTACTATTGCGATGGAAAGGAACCCAAACAGTGGAAAGTGTGGCTTTTAGCCCAGTAAAATTGTGACATGCCTTGACTCTCACTCGGTGAATGTGTGCTTTCAGGTGACATCACCGTAGTGCTAGAACCTTGCTCCGATTGGCACTATCGTATAGCATGTACTTATCAACTTGAAACATGCACGTAGTGTGATAGCGCCATCTAGATGAAGATTCTAGTGCTATGGTGACACGGCCCGAGAGCACAGATTCGCCTAGCGACAATCAAGGCACGTCATAATTCGACTGGGCCAGAAGCCACGCTTTGCACTGTTTGCATTTCTGTCAAATGCAATAGAACAAGCGTATTATGGCATGACCATGTACTGTGGCAATAAAACTTTGCAGTTGAGCACATTAGATGCACCGCATGAATATTTTTCATCTAATGTTTGCTCGCAGAGGAGACATCGGAGAGCAACTGGAGGCCTGCTGCGATTTCTGCGGGCTGTTTAGGCGTGATGGAAAGCGGCATCAGCTTAAGCTTTTTCCGAACGATGTAGACGGGAGGGAACGCAGCGGCGAGAAGCTCTTTCCTGGATGGAGTGCTTCTGCTGCGTACGAACTATTCGGGAGTGTTGCTGAAGAACTACGCCTGGCCAACACCCTTCTAGATGATGTTGGGCTGGGACATACAAACGATACCTTGCTCCGACTCGTGCGTCTGTTATCTCTTACAAACTATAGAAAAATGATGGCTCCGCCCATGGCCATTCCTGACCCTCCCACAGAGAAAATTATCATCAATGCTCGACCCAACAGTGATTTACTCATTTTCGCGATGTGAAACACGTCTCGAGTGTTTCAAATACACTCAGATCTTAATTTAACAAGTCGCATCTTACACAAAAATAAGTGCATTATAACCGAAAATTTTTATAAAGGTATATTCTCAACACTATATCTATTGTAAGACTGTTTTTAATTTACTTTGTTATAACCAATATTTCTTTATATCCGGGTTCGCTGTATGGAGGTTTGAGTATAGTTGACTTTTCCATGCATGCACACATTTGTGCTGCTGCTTTTAGGTCGGAAACTTGAATGTCCTAGTAGACTTTGTCCGAGATTCCAACATTGCTGCTCAGCCAAACAATGTTTTATGCAATAACGACAAACTCTTAGCCCCTGATAAGCACAGTACTTGCATTAGCTAAAAAAAAGTGCTCACAGTATGAGCAGAAACCAGCTAACAAGTGAGCAGCAGGCACTCTGCGGTTCTGTGGGTGGAGCTAACATATTTTTATTGGGCTGTGAGTATAGCGTCATTGACAAACCCGCACCTTCGCAGTGGATCGATACAACGGCGGCGTCTCCTGACACGAAGCTCAGCTCGACATTCTTGAGCACACAGGGTGGAAGACAAGACGGAAGAACTGGGACGTTCGACTTCTAAACAAAAGTGCTCGGGATGTAAATACAGCGTGAAAAGTAAACAAGGACTAAAGTAGAGAAAACACAGGACCTACTTTAGTCCTTGTCTCTTTTTTGCACTGTTTTTACATCCCAAGCATGAATCATGGAAAGTGAATGAAAGTGATGATACACTACAGCATCAGTGGCTGCCAAGTGCCATAGAATTGTAAGTTTGCATAGACAGTAGTCACAAATTGAAATGCGACGTCAGTTCTTTGGTACAAGAACTACTATGAGCGTTACGTAATAACCATGTCGCAACACTGCAAGTCTGGTTGCTATAGGTAATATTTTCTGCGATTTAAGTGTTTGTGTAAAAATTGAGCTGATACGATGCAAACTGATGATGCTCGAAACGAAAGCACAGACGTTGCTCAGGCATGCGTTTCCCCGTTCCAGTCATGAATCTTGTACATATGTGCTAACCTGACATTCAATTTCCTACAAACTTGTTCAGCCACTGCATTGCAGCACCGATACAAAAAAACCTAATGCAGTTTCCATTACTTGTCATCAACAAGGGCTATGGTAATGATATCTGCCTTTTTCTTCTCCGTAGAAACATGGCAACTGTACACCATCTTGCGACTCGCATTAAATGCAACAGTACTTGAGTTGCAGCATTCAGTGGTGTTCATACCAGTAGACAGGATTGCACGTTTAATGCAACCCAAACCAAAGTAGTAAGGCGATACATCACAGGCTAATAAGGGTAAAGACTGTGGAGCTACATCATTTGTAGTTCTCTTTATTTTACTAAAAAGTATTCTTTGAAGTGCCATAAGTAAACATATTGGGAAAGTTCAGCTTATTCATTTTGGAGCACAAGTTCGATGGAGAAAAGTTATGCGATGTGCTCTGAGGAACACACAGTTGAAGACTTAACTGACCTCTTTTGTGGTGATGTTTTTCTTTAGGGGGGGAGGGGGGTGGCCTTGAAGAACTTGTTCTGTGCCTAATTTCTTGCAGTGACGTCTTTTCTGTTGCAATCTGCAGGCTGCTTCAAAACCAATTCGCCATATAACCCTTGCCGGTGTCGGCCATTCTGCAAGAATTTCTAGTACATGACGTGCTGAGGCAATATATCGGTAGTCCGAGACTTATCAGACTAAACTGCCGTGCAGAAATAGTTTCGTGATTGGGAAGCATTAATGTGGAATGAGAATGGGGTGGAGCATATTGGGCAAGCATTCTCAAATCATGAATGGTAGATAGCCACTATCCCTCAAGAGGAAGGTGAACAGCTGAATCCTAGAGGTGCTTGCCTATGGAGCATAAACCTGTAGGCTTACAGAAAGGGTTGAACTTAAGTTAAGGATAACGCAGCGAGCTGTGGAAAGGAAAATTATAGGGACAATAAGAGAACGGAGTGTATCAAGAACAAATGGGTCTAAAGGACATCATAGTCAAAATCGACAAGAAGAAATGATTATGGGCAAGGCAAGATAATCGCTGGTCATTAAGGATCAAAGACCAGATTCCAAGAGGAGGCCAGTGGGTGGGAGGGGAGACGGAAAGTTAGGTGGGCAGATAAGATTAGGAAGTTTGCAGGTGTAAAGTGGCAGCAGCAAGCAAAGTTTGTCCCGCAGTGTGCGTAGTCAGGCTGATGATGATGAATGTGATTATCTGAAAGCCCTTTTCAGGCTGTTTTTCATAATAGACATGCAGAATGTTAAATCCAAGGACCGTATTAGGTGATTCAAGCTAATGACATGCAGCTGTCACAGCTAAGTTGATTGGAAATGGCTATTTTGGTTGAAAAGTGACCGTTTAGGTTCGATCACAATGTTTGTGAGCCGCCCAAATGTCTTAAGAGGCTGGGTAGTGTGTGCAGATATGAACATCAACGATCATAAGTCGAGTCATGTCACAGGAGCAATTGGGAAAACATGTTAGCTGGTATGATGTCAGTTGCTGCAAGTAATTTCTTGGTCACTAGCTGCAATGAATTGTACCACTTGTACAAATCACGACTCTGCATAAAAGAACAGTGATGATCGTAACTAAGGCTGTGGGAAGATGTATGGTAGACACATAGACATATCTGTCTTGTCAATCAACAGTTGCTCACATGTAATGGTCCAGAGCAGGGCATTTTACTCAAAACTGTTTAGTTGTAAAACACCAGCTGTAGCTGCTTCTCGAAGCAGCACCTGACAAAAAGAGTCTGAACGGTACAGAAGTTAGGTTTATTGTAATACACTCACTGCTTTCTTAAAAATTTTCTAGTAAGAGCTTTAGCACTGCGATCATTCAGCCACATTGTGATTGACAGGTAATACGCAGATTCCATTAGTATATTTTCTAGATACAGACATTCTTGTGACATTAGCTACACTCTTTATTTTAAACTTTGAAGCATTTATGTTTTTTTTTTCAATGCATTTGCACAATAATTGTGAATTGTTTAATTTATTTAAAAAATATTTGTTGAAAATTTATGAAGTTACGAAGCCATAAAGTTGAATAAAGGTAATTGATGAAATGACCATAAAACGACCAAGTAAGGAGCGTCAGATGAGTCCATGCTACTGCCCCTTCCTAGGCATTGCGACGAGCTGTGTTAATTCCATTCTCATTACCGCAGTTCCATTTGGTAATTGTTGCAAAACTATTTTATTAACTCACTTGAAAGGTTGATGTCTGTTTAGGTTGTTAAATTTCAGATCTTCAGCAGTGTGCACAGACAACTTTGAACTTGCGAATAACTCGATGGTTATGAATAGTTGTTAAAACATGTCTTTATGTCAGCAAGACATTGCTCGAATTAGCGATTTGCATGTAAACAAAAAGTGTACATGGCCTCCAAAGACAGAATGGCGTGCCCTCATTGAACATGATCTGTGTTTTCAAATCAATCCTTCAAAAGTCGAGAAGAGAATGGATACAACTGATTCTTATCTAGATAAACACACACGCACAAAATAGCCGGATAATGTGGACGAGATTTCAAAACTGAGCATTTCAAAACAAGAGCAGTCGTGTGTATATTGCACCTAGATGGCTACATGCACATTTCTATAGCGCTGTCAATAGAAAAAAAAAAAAAAAAACGAGTGAAAAGGCCGACAAAACTTTCACACTCAGTAACAAGGCAACTGGAGGAATAACGCGGGGTCAACTTGCAACATTGTTCGTAAATATGAACAAGTTCGTTTTTATAGGGTAAATAGTTTCGATAAACAGGATCTCTACGCAACACACAATGAGTTGTTGTCCGTCGGCCAAACATTCAAGTAGCGTGACAACAGCGGAGAATGGCCGCATATGACTGGCTCCTATGAGTATATCGACCTTGAACAGTATGCCCCGAGCTTATCCCCGCACCATCGGATGAGCGTCCAAGTCTCCAAAGGCGGCGGCATCAACCTTCGGCGGTTCTTGACGTCTGGTCGCGAAGTAGCGAAGCGGAAAGTAGATGAGGTGTGGAACAGCCGCTATGACGAGCAGTTTCTTCCACGAGATCCTTGCCTTCGCAACCCTCGACATACCCGCGGCTCTTACCGGACGATCGAATGAATGACTCTGCGAATGAATGAATCACATTTAGAAAGTTTGAAATAGTTGCGACGAAACCTGAAATGTATTGCAAGTTGTTCGAAGTATAGTTAACGGTTCAAAGTATAGTTAATTCACGCAAAAAGCTCACCTATGCAGGCGAAAGTGTGTGTGAAGTCATAAAAAAAAAAAACGTTCATTAATATCTGTGCATGTTTAAATCCAAAATTTATCCCAACTCCGTGAGTACTTCTGATATCAGAGCATGAGCCTAATACAATATCAAACATTATCGTTATTTACCCTAATAAAGGGGGGGGGGGGGGAGAAGACGGAGCAAATAGGGGAAGAGGGGGGTATTGAGTCACTTTACATAGTTCACGCGCTCGGGCCTCTTTGAGTGTAGCTGAAACATTTGTATTCACGAAGTTATGGAATATTGCAGCCTTTTGAATAAACAGGTATATGTGCTGTGTTGTTTTATTACAGTAAACATAGAGGTTTTTAAAGTGCTTGAGCTATTTCAAGGAGTTGATTGAAGTATATTCAATAACTTTAAAGCCTGGTTGCTTTGCTTTTCTCGACTATATATCTGCTTCACAACGTTACTCATACAGAGGTCCGGTCCGGATCCCGTGAGCTGCTTCTCCGTCATGTTCTTTGTCAGGATATAGGAATCTGTTGAATCACATCTCGACGGGAGTATTTGACCGGATTCTTTTGCTTCGCATTACATTTTTTTTTTCTATAGATGCGGTATAATATATCTCCACGTCGAATTATTTAGCAACACTTGTACATAGGCAAACTCGTTTGTTGTTTATGAAGGGCACATTTCATAGAAATTTCAAAGACCATTTAATCGTGTACGCATGAGCCGGATCAGGGAGAAAATGAGCCGACAAATTCAATACATATGCATCCTTTTAAAAGCTCTTAATTACAGAGTACTCTATCTTAACTGTCGCTATTTGAGCACTCTATCCTAACTGAAGCTTGCTGGTGTGACTTCTCGAAATGAAATTTTGTTACAGGGCACAAAATTACACCAGTGTAGTTTTCGTACAAACATTGCAAGCGCTTTGCCACAAGTGGAATGAAAAAATAATAATAATAATAAATGTCATATGAAGTAACATGAGTCACATGAACACTCCAGCACAAGCTAGCATCACAAAACACCTATACCGCAGAAAACCTACCAAAAAAATAATAATAAGGGCCATATTAACAAGAACACTCCAGCACAACCTAGCATACCCTTCACACCACCACAGTTTTCTTCCCCTAAAAGAGTGCAAAAAATGTGGAACGCTTCACGATTTTGCGTGTCATCCTTGCGCAGGGGCCATGCTAATCTTCTCTGTATCGTTCCAATTTTAGTATATGTACTTTGGAAGTACATCTTACTATTTTTCGTTCAACTATATATAGCCAGGAAATGGGAGGCAGTTCCGAAGCAGTGAGGCTTCACTAATACTTGTATATGGTGAATTACCATCATAAATAATTTGTAGATAGTGCAACTTTTTGCAAGTAGCGCGGCACTTGGCAAGTGCCTTTTATATTAACTAATATTTACTTGCACCGGTAGATGTTCTAAATTGAATTGTTTGTCTAAAGAAGAAAACGTACGCATTGGCTCAGTCCCGCCCTCTCGTGGCTGAAGCGCCAGTTAGCACAAGCGGGCGCTTAATTCAAAACAGGACTAGCTTCGGTTAAATAATAATAATAATAATAATAATAATAATAATAATAATAATAATAATAATAATAATAATAATAATAATAATAATAATAATAATAATAATAATAATAATAATAATAATAATAATGCAGAAAGTCTCACAAATCACGCATGGGGCCACCGGCAGCACTGCGTTTCGTTTTTGACAGAACTTCTCGACAAAGTACTGACACGGGGGCATTTAGTAGGATATAACGGAACGAAACTTGTTATCAATATGGTAAACAGTTTAGTGCAACACCGACATGAACGAAAGACATACCAAATGGTAGAAACCTATTCTCGGTTGGATTGGATTTAAATATTCTTAACGGTTATTCTTTCTGATGCATAAGTCTATCGTACTGTATTTATCTTTTCTTGGACCATGTAGACCTTGAGCGAAATTACTTAGGACAAAAAACGTGTAACGCTTCGTGATTTCGCGTGTCATTCTTGCTCAAAGGCCATGCTAATCTTATTTCAAGTACTTTAGTATATACTACTACCTTTTGTTGAGCTATATATTGTCAAGGATTCAACAACCGCTACGGAGCGGTGCACGCTCTTCAATACTTCAAGATTTTGCATTCTAACCGTTATTAAAGGGTACACAGTGAAATTCTTCAGAAATTTTCTGGTACTCAGCGGTGTTTTTTTTTTTTTTCAAATGAACGACTGGGTATTTGCACAATTAAGTTCCTAATACAAATAACCTGGCTTTTAAAAAATGCTCTTTTCCTCAGTGTCGCCTTCTCATGAGTGATGCATCATTTAACATATGCCAGCGCGTAAATTCAAATTAAGGTTCGTCTAGGTAAAAATAAAACTGAAAAATTAGCCCGGCCGACCGATGGTGATGGGGATCTGGCGGGATCAGGTTACCTACGCTCAGTCAACGAAATTTCAAAAAGGCTAATTGGCAAAATTGAAAAAAAAAAACTGGAAGAGAATTGCGTTCCCATTGTACCGGAAAGAATTTCCATTAATCTCTTTTTAGCGTAAAGCAGAGTTTGATGATATACCGTTGGAACGAACACAGCCATAAGCCCCTCGCACACATCGCAGAAGACAGGCGCGGGCTCGGACGCTTGAGAGGCGACACGGCTCCCGACCTGGTGTATTCTACGTAGATATAGCAGGGCCTTCGCCCACGGGATTTTACACGGCCTCTGTAGTTCACCGGGAAAAGCATGTCAATGGGCTCTCGTTCCGAGCACAAAATCCAGAGCGCGCTGACGAAGTCGCGATAGCGCTTGCTGCTGCGGACCCCAACTCGAAAGTTATCATCACGGACTCCAGGAAAGCATGTACTCATTACTTGGTAGGAGAGATATCCCCCCTAGCCAGCCAAATTCTAAAACGGGCTCTCGCTGATCCAGCCCCGAAACGCATCGTATGGGCTCCTGGCCATCAGGGCCTACGAGGTAATGAGGCCGCTGACGCGGCCGCCCGAGCGCTTACCCACCGGGCTCCTCACCTTGGCTCTTATGACTCGGAGGCCAATACACCGCTGCTGCGGTTCAAAGAAATTCTGACCTATTATCGCGACACTCACCGCCTTTACCCGGCTCCTGCAAAGGGGCTCAGTAAGGCGGAAGAGCGAACTCTAAGGCGCCTGCAGACAGGTACTCTACTCTGTCCTGCAATCCTAAAACATTTCGATGCGAACACAGACGGGCGGTGCCCACACTGTGGGGAGACGTGTGATATCTTCCACATGGTGTGGGCATGTCCGAAAAATCCCCACCTACCCCCTTCCCCTACCCCTTCCCGAGAGGCATGGGAGACTGCCCTCCTCAACTGCTCATCACTAGAGTCTCAACGGGCTCTGGTGAGACGGGCGCGAGTAGGGGCCTCGTCATGCGGTGTCCCGGACTAAGGACGCCGACCATGTAGCAGGGTCATGCTTTGGCCCCGTACCTCTCTCTTTTATAATAAATGTTTTTCATCATCATCGCACACATCCGCCCTCGGGTGACTTGCATGCTGTAATTTCTAAATTTGTTTCTGTTTGCTTTGCACCCTCCAAAAGTGGCACAGTATTGTGACAGAATTCCGTCCGTCTGTCTGTCTGTCTGTCTGTCTGTCTGTCTGTCTGTCTGTCTGTCTGTCTAGCTTAAGGTCTTGCAAGCTGATCTACAACTAGATCGTTAATAAAACATTCCCAACTAGACAATCAAGAAGAACACAAAAATAGTGAGACATACTCGTGCTCCTGCCAGTGGTCAGCAACATGCATTCGGTCACGTCGTCAGAGTGTGTCGGCGTATTTTACAACTCTGGTTAGATTGATAGATGATGTACCCTCTATGTATAGTGTGGTCTATCGAGGTGCCATTAAGAATCCGCTGATTAGTTTGTTGGTAAACGTTTAGATGTATACTGAACATTTGTAGCGCTAAGACACGACAACAAGAGAAGACACAAAAAGGACTCAGGCTAGCGCGCCATGTCTGTGTCATTTTTGTATTTTTTTCTTTTGGTTTTAACGTCCAAAACCACCATATGATTATGAGAGACGACTTACTCGAGGGCTCCGAAAATTTCGACCACCTGGGGTTATTAACATGCAACTAAATCTAAGCACGTGCACGGGCCTCGAGCATCTTCGCCTCCATCGGAAATGCGGCTGGGATTCGATCCCGCGACCTGTAGGCCAGCAGCCGAGTGCCTTAGCCACTAGACCACCGTGACGGGTATTTGAACACGAAAGTGTTTGATGCCGACGTCTACCACGGCTCCGCTGACCTATTTCCGTCACGGATATGACGTTGCAATACATTGCGAAGAAAAAGACGAGGAGGAAAGATATTTCCCGGAAAATAAAGGGCATCGAACCACCGACCTCACGATGTCCAGCGCGCGGCGCTAACCACCCTGCGACGGAACGTACGAACGTTGCCAAGCTTGGTTAAGGCAAGCCATTATGCACCGTTCGGTGGTCCTCGGAGCTCTGTAGTTTCAGAGCGTTTTCGTCATCAGTACCAAGATGGCACGACCTGCTCGCGTTAGGAATAATGCCGTCGCCTCCCACGTTTCATTGAGGGCTTTGTCCAGGGGTTGTGGTCTTTCCTGCACGCGCACTTATCAGACGCGTGATTCGCGAGGGCACAAAGGTCACCTCGCTCTCTGCCGCGGCCGCGTTTACAAAAGGAGCATGCTGCTCACCCACGAAACAAGAAAAACAAGAATTGCGGCAGTTGTTCGTGCTTGCAGAGGCTTCAGAACCGGCGGGGCAGTGGGGGCCGTAGCCCCCACAGGTTAGAAACCAGATGGGGCATGCCGAACCCCCTCTCCCGCATTTTCAAAAGAATATATATATATATATATATATATATATATATATATATATATATATATATATTGTTTCTGTAAAATTCAGTTTAACTCTTTATTTACAGGTGAGATCAGGCGATGATCGGCGATGATGGGGCGACCAAAGGCCAAACCAACCAGCTTCCT